TCTGTGTGTTGCCTCTCTCTCTCTCTCTCTCTCTCTCTCTCTCTCTCTCTCTCTCTCTCTCTCTCTCTCTCTCTGTGTATGTGTTGCCACAACTCTCTGCTTTCTGTTAGTCGGAACTTAGTCCCGCTTGTGTTTTCACATTAACATCCTCCTTCTGAGACTTCACGAACATGTTTCCACTGCCGCGGTCGATCATAAGCCAGCTTCTCTTTCTCTTTGACGGATCGTAATGGCTAGACGTAATCTCCGAGAGAAAGAGGAAGAGGAGGCTATCGTATCCAGAGAGAAAGTCGATCGACATGGCCGGTGCTCTCGTATCGTCTCAGGACGTTTACAGATAATGACAATGGGAAAGAATGCCAAGCCCATAGACCACATTTCGAGCGGCCAAGCGGCTCCTCCTTCTCCTTCAGCTGAGACTCTTGATCGGCCTTGACGCCGGGATGTGAAGCTGGTCATAACGGAGCCTCGCAGTGGCGATGGTGGCTGTCGCTCCACTACTAGTAGTCATCAAATGCACAAAACGAGAATGAATCTTGCGCCAGAACACGGAGACATGCATCGCAGGATTTTCTGTCTTTTGTGCATGTTGTGAGTAGTGGCGCGGAGCGGAACGGCTGGTCAACCCTCCAGGTGTGCACGTGCATGATACACACTGCCGACGAAACTCCACCGCCGTCCTTCGGGACATCCGGTAAAATTGGAACGATACAGAGAAGGGTAAATTAGCAAATGGCCCCTGCGCAAGGATGACACGCATAAATCGAGAAAAGGTCCAAAAAAAAAAAAAAAAAAAAAAAAGGGATCCCCCGCCAAGACTCTCCCATGCGACAGACTCGAGATCCCAGTCCGTGGTCCCATTAGCAAAGAGCATCAGATTGCATGCCTGAATCTGGACGTGTCTGTGGGACAGGATCAGGAAATCGAGATAGAACTGCTTTTCTGCTTCTCTGCATAAAACATAGCCAGCTTCAGGATTTCTATCTTATCCCCTTCGCTAGTGGGACCACGGCCCAGGAGCATTATCATTATACTGGCCGGCCGCAGGAGCATGGTCCCATTAGCGAAGGGGATTGGATTAAGATCCTGAATCTGGCCGTATTTTAGGCAGAATGCAGAAAAGGAGTTCAATCTCGATTTTCTGCACTTGTCCTCAAACACGGCCAAATTAAGGCGTTCAATCCAATACTCTTTGCTAGTGGGACCTCGCCCCAGGTAACGGCCTCGCTCCACTCCTCTGGAGATTTTTTTTATTTTTTTTTCCCTCCAAAAAGACCTTCAATTATAACAGTTTTTTTTTTTTTTTTTTTTTTTTTTTTTTTTTTTTTTTTTTTT